GGGTGCTCGAAGTAGATAATTTTTCAGTTTTTTTTTTTGCATTTTATGTGTTGCAGTGAAAAGAGTGAATCATGGTGCAAATCACAATGCTACAAGTTGCACTCACTAGCTGTAACAACAACTCGCTACCCGCCGTTCACGACAACAAGTGGCTTTTGCATAACCATTGATCCAATCAGCCAGCTGATCCTTCGTGGTGTCTGGGAAGGACATATATGGGAACTCGCAGAACCTGACATGGAAGCGCACGCGCAAGGAGTCGTAGCGGCTTCGCCAGGAATCTTCAGGTCGCTCGTTCTTCTCAATAACCAGGCTCGGAACTCCAAGCTGCTTCAGCCGTGCACCAAGGGTAATCCCAATTTGGCTGCCGCCAACAGTCACTACGTATGGAGGACTCTCCTCCGCTGTGTTTTTGCAGCATGAAACATCTCGGCCCAGCCTTCTGGTGCCCACCCAGCTTCCTGGTGAGACCTCGCTTCTCTTCGTGTCCACGGAGCGCTTGGGCGGCTGTGGTGAGTGTCCAGCAGACACGCCTTATATGCCCAAAGCAGCTTGCATGAGCTGTCTGGAAGGTGAACCGAGCTGTGATGACGTCATCTGCTTCTGTTGCCCCTTCCAAGACCCAGCCAGGGGGCTGGACTTTGTGCAGAAGAGAAACCAGCATTGCAGAGATGGGCACCTTGCCTTCCCATGTCTCTATGTCCCATCCAGCGGCCAGCAGATCGCGCCAGATGCTTTCTGTGCAAACAGGTTTGCCAAGGCCTCAGCATCATGGCTCCCCAACACTCGATCAAAATTGGCAAGCCATCGTCTAGCTTGCTCCATTGATGGGTGTTTTTCCTAAATGAGACAAGAGAGTCCTCCTTCCTAACCCCTTTGTACTTGCTTGCATATTCTTGAAATCCTCAATGAGGGTTCATATTCTGAGAAACACCCATCTAATGTGGGCTGCAGCTTGAGCATGGGGCACATACGGTCAGAAGGCTGCTGGCTTAAGGCAAATCTTGCCTGGACCTGTCAAGGGTTGATGAAAGCAATCTTGACGCACAAAAAAAATGGAAAACAAGCATGGGCAGGGAGCACGCAGTAGATCGAAGCATGTTTTCTAGAGAGAAATGAAGCTAATTGAACATGTGCAACTTGTGGCCCTGCAGGGGTTACTATCTTCTGAGCTTCATCTGCACCACAGTGCATTGACGGAGCTTTTGGGCGGCGAGGCTTCCATTGGTCACAGCCCCGCAGGCTTTCCTTTGGCGTCAGTGTGGGCTAGCCTCCGGGCCACACCTGCACAGACTCTGTTTGGTGAACCGGCCCGGCTGGTCCCGGATGATGCATTTGGAAACTTCTTCACCATAAGGTTTGAAGGATCAGAGCACGCTATAAACCAGGTCGTTTGTCCGTCTTGGGCATTGGTTCAGTACGAAACAATAGACTCAATAAATTCTATAAATTCAGAGGTCATCAATGGCTTGGAGAGGCGGACCTGCCATGATGCTGATGATGACCGGCATGCACAGTTGCGGGTGGGGGCGGGCATCATGAGTTTTGCCAGGTCCTCACATCTACTCTCCTAAATAATAGCAGGTCCAGCCCTTGCACCTGTGGACCTGTACGGATGGAATAAGAATGACATGTTTCGTTTCACTCATAGGGGGAAATCCAATCGTCCAATCGTCCTGCTAAGGTTAAGAAGACCCTCAGGGAAGCCAAGGGTAGCAAAACGCTCTCCGAGCAGAAGCCCCTTTGCAAGGAAGTGTTCGCACATGTTCGCACTCTGAAGGCAAACGGTCGCCCAACCTGGATTTGGTGGCAGGATGTGCCGCAGCCGGCGCGCTTCGCCAGGCTCCGGCCGCCCAGGCCAAGCAAAGACGCGGCGCACGTGGCGGGGGACCTCGGTAAGTAGGGGGAAAGTGAATGGCTTTCTGATTTCTGATGCTCTGAGCGTGCGGGCCACTTCTCGTAGGTTGAACAAACGGTCCATGCGCGGCGGGAAGACTTTGCCCTGCAGAAACGAAGTAGGCAAAGACTGCGCTTGAGAGGTTCCAGCTAATGTTGCACTTCGTTTAGTCAAGAGACCTTGTTAAATGTGTTGCCACCGCTTATCCATTTTCAGGCCATTGTTGGGAAGACCTTCTTTAATGTGTTGTGGTTTTGGGGCCCTAAAAAATTGAGGAAGCTGAAAATATTGAGGCCCCACGAAAAAGGCCCTTCTAAAATCCTGTCCCAGCTCAGCCCAGAGATGTCCAGAATCCAAATACTTACCAAATCTTGAATCTGAAGCCAATTAGTTTTACCAGAACCTCTATTCTAAAAAGAGACCCCTTATGATTTACTCCTCAGATCCTTAGTCATCCTCGATTCGATAATCCCTCACCCTCAGAAATCCTTTATAATTTACTAACCAGACCCTTTCTACCTGAGACAGAATTGTTGGGCCCTAATTCAGACCGCCTAATTTTTATTTTTCTGGGGGCCCTATTGTTTGCGGGGGTGAGGGGGGTGTATAGAGTTATTAAAGAGAGTGCAACATTATGATGAATCATTGCGCTACGTTGCGCAGGCCGCACCTCCACAGCAACAACCCGAGGTGGGTCGGTTGAGCTTGTCAGCGGCCTCCTACAAGCGCAAGCAGGCAGCAAAGTCCGCAGAGTCATGAAGCCACCGGGGTACTGACGCCAAATGGCGGGTGATACTCTCTGCCAGTTGTTTGGCATCGTTGCAGTCCTCAGCATGTGCTTTGTCATGTTTGTCATCCTTGAGACTCTCGAAGCTTCGGCCAAGCTTCTGCCGGGGGCTCAAGCGCCAGCTCCACAACCCAGCAGCCAAGGCTGGCCTGTTTTGACTCTTTATGTGTGCTGGGCTGTGGGCTAGGATAGGAAGGGCCTCAGAAGCATTCAGCCACTGGGCTTCTTCATCCATGATGGATACCAGGTCACCTTGCCAGCTGCTCATGCCATGATGAAGCATTTCGTCTCCATGGGATGTCATCCGTTTAGACGGGTGTCCGTACCACTGCATACAGCAGATGCTGCCAATGGCCGGCAGCACATCTTTGCCACCCCGGCATCGCACCTGCATGCTCAAGCTTAATTCCATCTTCCAGAGCATACAACAGCCGATAAGCACGCAGCAGTGAACCCTGAAGCATCCTGAAGCAACACACGCTTTTCGGCCTCTTCCCGACTGCTGGCCAAGTCCAAGAGCTCCTTCTCCAGCGACCGCACCGATACCACCTCCACCGGCTGAGCCGGGCCCTGCAAAGCAACGTGGCCTTAAGTATTTTCTGGTGGATGGCAGTGCTCGCGTGCGGCCTCTGGTTGCAGATTCGAGAGGCAGCGTGACAGCGCCTGATCGTGAAACTTAAGGCGACCAATTCGACTCTGCACAGAAATCGCTGGATGCTCATGGAAGAACCTGGTCCCAAGTAGAGCGTGGGCACACTCCAGCACAAGTTCCAGCGTGCATACACATGGGCCTTGGGCCTTCGGATTGCGGGTCAATTGAGAGGGTGGATGCAAGCCTACCTGCCAGCCCATCCAGCCCGACCTCCGGCCACGACTCGCCAAAGCGCAGCATCGCGCGCACCATGACGGGCAGCCTCCGTCTGACTCACTTAAGAGCGGACCCCTGTTTAATGAAGCAGGAAGGCATCGTGGTACGGGTACGGGACAAACTGAACACACCAGCTGCCACTACAAGTACGGTGCAGGTAGCACTGCACGTTAAAGTGATGGAAACTCTCATCGCAGCAGAACGCGGCATGTGTCTTGTACAGCCTTATCCCGCGTGACAGCTGAGTGGCTTCGAGGGGCGTGAGCCCATACTGTCGGGGCACCCAGCCAGCTGGCCCCTTTTTGTGCACTTGTCTGTGACCTCCCTCAAAAGCAGCCACGCTGCACTGTAGTTACTGTTGCAAATTTCTGCCACACTCTTCAGCACCGGTAATGACAGAGACTCTTCGCAGCGCACAGGAATGGCTGCAGTCTGCAGTGGACTTGGACCCACCTGACTCGCGGCCACGCCGCTCGACTTCCGCTCTGCAAAGCCCGCCTCGGACCAGAACGACGTCTGGGGAAAGCGCAAGGAGTGAAAATCAAAATAAGTCCTTTGCCTCAGTCCCTTTTTTGAAGTGATGTAAATCCCAACCTCACCTCAACCCTATCGTCACAGCTCAGTCCTGCGGAGCGCCGCAGCCACAAAGTCGTTTGGGGCCAGAGTGCCTGCCTGCCGCGAGCTTATCTGAATTCACCCACTACATCGGAGCTCTAACCATCTCTAACCTACAGGAATATCGCTTTGAATCTTCCCACGACTGAGCCTTCCATGCCTAAGCCATCCTAGGCCCAACGCTTTCCTGTCCTCTAAGTCTAAGTCCATCTCCCGAGTGAAGCTGCAGTGTTACCATTCGAGCTCATGTGGCATGTGAGGTCTTTGACGCTGAGTGAATTGATGGAGCCCCTCCTTTGGCAGAACACCGAGCGCCTCGTCCGTGTTTGAGTCTCTTGTGCCTGACAGGCGTCCAAGAGCTGCGCAAAACTTCCACTTGATTCCACGTATTTGCACACCTCACTTGCCTTTGTCATTTGCTTGGGCGGCACCCTGCTGGCATCCTGACAAAGGCTCTTGCCCTTTTGCGAGCCATCCAAATCAATTGGACACTGCCGTGGCCTGGCTTTTCGTGCTCAGGCTCCAGGGACTCCAAAGCCTCAGGAGCAGGTCCTGACTCGGCAAGTGCCTGCTTGAAGAAAGATCAAAGCTGTCGTAGGCAGCATACATTGCGCGGAGGCAACAGGCCTGCACCTTGTCCGGATCGGCTTTGGCCAGGGGCCGCTTGAAGGCAATCTGACGGCCTCGCCACGATTGCCAAACAAAATGATCCTGAGCTCCAGCTCTCCCACGTGCTGTGGCCGTGGCCAAATTGTCTCTGGGTAGATGGAGGCCACCGCACTAGCAGAGGCTCAGCCACCTTGTAGCTGCAGGCTTTGCAACATTTTGCAACGGCATCAGGTTTGGGTCTGGACACCCTCAATTGCCTGGTGTTGCTAAGCTGCAGAACCGGAAATGCAGAAAGATGAAGCTGCTCTAGTCTGCTTTAGCAGCTTTTTGTGACGAGAGCTATTCGCTAGAGAGTGCTTCTGATGCAAGAATGAAACCCAATCTCACAGCACACGCTTGTCACCTCTGTCCCCTGCCATAGAGCAGTGTGGGAGAATCGTCCATATCGCGCATACTGCACATGGGAGCATTCTCGCCCTGAATTTGGGCACTGCAGGTAAAAGCATGGAGGAACAAGCCAGGGGAACATGACATCTTTGAAAGCACCTCCGAAGTGAGGAAGAACCCTCTTCCGGGAAGGAATGCACAACTCATCTGATGGGCCTTTCCAGTTCAAAGCAATGCAAGGCTCTTCCTGGCCCTCAAGACCGCTGCGACTCGAGCTATGGTGCGGAAAAAACTTGTGTAAGGGATACACAGCATGTTCCATCCACATCTGTGTACCCGCTGTGACTGTAACGCTGACCTCACATTGTTAAAGCCCCCGCGTATCCACCAAAAGGCAAAAATCAGCAATGGCTGGCTCCTGGCTAGTACTACAAGTGGCCAGTACTATCAGAGCTCCAGCTGATGGACCGGACCCTGGTACTGCCAGCACGCACAAGAAGCAACTTTTCTTCAACTCTAACACCATCAACCTGTCTGTCGCAGAAGGAACCCCAGCATGCCTGCGAAATGCAGCTCCAACTGCAGAGAAAACAAAGCACAAGCATGGCTCACGTAGTGAGAGGACAGGGAACGCAACTATTGAAACCAAACATACAAGCAGGCATGGATGCCCTTGCTCAACTAAGATCAATTGCCACCAACTTGATCGGGGACTCCAATCACACGAAAAGCCCATCCTGGTCGTCTCAAGGACCTCCAGTCCACACGGCTTCCGCGACCAGTGGACAGATGTCGGCCATCTGAATCTCATGCTGTCCTTTCGCAGCAAAGTGGCCACGGGCACCAGCGCGCCCCCGGCCAGGAGCCCCAGTCGGCGTTCGCCATCTGCGCCATCTGCTGATGCACCGGGGAGGCAAACAGCTTCCCATCGCGGCATTGTGGGGAGCTAGACGGCTAGACTGTGGCATGACATTCTGAGTACGTCTAATTACTGCTCGTCTGGCAATGGAATGCTTATGAGCTTGCAGGAGAGATAAGACACTGCATTGCCTGATATTGCGTGGGAATGCTTACGTTCTCCCTGAAGCCCTCCCTGTCTCTGAAGTCCCGAAACTGCCACCATACTTCTCATAATCACCATGCTGGCATCTCCCCTAAGTCTATGTTTCACTGTATGAATATACGGTAGAGGCTGCGCGGGAAGGGGGTTCACTTGTGACTTC